ACTTCGATAAATCGACGCTTACGAATCGAAAGACTTTATAGATCGAGGAAAATTAAATAAAATTAAAAATGAAGAAGAAATTGAAATAGAAATGAAAGTAGTCTCGGATAAATTGTTATCTATCAATAGTTTGACCCATAACAACATATGAAATTTCGTCATCAACCGAAAAAGATTAAAAAAAAGAATAAAATCGGAAATAAAAAGTTAAAAATAAGTTTGGTCTCGGATTTATTTGTTTTTTCATCAATAATTTCACGAAAAACAATTATGAGGTCTCTTCATCGACCCAAATAAAAATTGAAATAAAATAAATAAATAAAGAAAGGAAAAAAAGTCAAGGAAACTTTAGGAAACTAATTATATTAACAATTCTTAGAAAAATAATATTAATAGACTTAAAACATAAACCTTAATAAGATTCTTTTAAAACTTAAAACATAAAAAAAAAGGATAGAGGGGTGCATGGGGGATACGATGGTGATGATGGCTACATCCACGTGGGCCCTCCGGCCCATTCAATCCAATAGTCTTAGTAAATCAAAATCAATCAGATTCAATTTAGAAATCACACACACCTTTTGATAAAACAAGATAAATAAAAAATGAACAACTCATATTTGGATATCCTAACCAGCCCCCCTTTCAGAACAACTAAACACAAAACTCATAAAAATTTGTGCGGCCAGGGAAAGAAAAATATCGACGAAGAATAACAATCAGCGACAACCTCAACCCAACCTTGAATCGTTCCATTTGTTTTGCTCTCACTCTGGGCTTGGTTCGTGATTAAATCCTTCAATCTCTCTCGCGAAGTCGTTCGATCCAAGTTCGCATTTAGTTTTCTTGACCTCCTTCCCTTTGATTTGGTTTCTTCATCTCTATCTCATCTACTTCTTTTTATTCTACTCTGGTTTTTTTGTTGGTTTGGATTCGCGGTCTGCTTTGTGGATGTATTCAGTTTTTTTGAAGTTTTAATGGGTAAGGGTTTGAAAAAGGGGATCTGTTTTTTTTTAAGGTGGAGATGGGTTGTGGCGAAGCCACTTGAAGGAGAGAATGAGGTTATGGTATTTGAAAGGGTTTTAAATATGAAGAAAGGAAAATTTTTGCTACAGATTGAAGAGTGGGGGTCGAAGGTTAAGGGCTGAAGAAATGTTTTTTTTAGTGAAAGTCTCCATTTTTCGTCCTCCCAGATGAGGGAAAGATGACTCGGTTTATAGTATTATGCTAAGGGTAATTTTGGGAAGCCTCTTGTGAAAGGATGACATGCGTTTTATAATTATTTTCAGATGATTTGCAAAACTGTTATGGCTATGTGAGAATCAAGTTGTTGCTGCCAATACCAGTTGTTCGCTGCATTTAGGTCGTTTAACAATTTTCGTTCGTTTTGCTCGTGACGTGCTCAGGTTGTGTGGGGCTAGTTTGATTTTGTTGTAAATGTTTTGAAGCCATTTGGACTTACTCTCATTGAAAACTAGTACATAACAATTGAAGTCGTTTGGAAGAAAATAAATAGTTCTCTTTTTTTGCTGTGCTTTTGAATTTAGTAAAATATATCACAATGGGCCTTGGAACTTCTGAATTTTTTGTGTAGTAATTTTTGCAATTCTAAATGATAATGGGCCTTAGAATCATGGACAATGGACCTTTTGAATTATTATACAAAAAAAGAGATTAGATAAAAATATTTAGAAACAGATGTTATAATGGATATTGGATAATGACTTAAATTTGGATATGGACCTAAAAATTGATATTGTCTGGACATTTGGATATATATATAAAAAAAAACTAAAATGGATTATGGAACAAAAATATAATTAAAAGGACACTTATTGGGTTTTGAAAAGAAAAGAAAAAAAAATACTAAATATGAATAAATGGTATTAGAAAGAATGGATGTGGAAATGAGTGGAAAGCCCTTGAGAAATTATGAATTGAACTTAACCTCTAAAATTTGGCATTACAAATCACCCTTGATGAGCCAAAACTTCATTGTGACTTCTTGATCATGCCTTAAAACAACTTATGTCATATGGCTTGAACCATGTCTTAATCATATGGTTTAGAATCCACCTGAAATCATTCGACCATATCTCAATTATTCAACCACAAAACACTGGGTTATCTTTCTTCCACCTTCACCTGATAAATTTTCAGAGGATCATGGCCCAGGGCCAAATGATCATCTTGAAAATAACCATCAAACAACACCACTATTTGTGATAAGACAAGTAAGGTAGGACAAATTTGGGGTATGACAGGGAGCATCAAGAGTTACCAACAAACGAAAATATCCCCACCCATCAACACACGACATCCTAGATGATTTTTGTTTTAGAACAATTGAATAAGAGGTGATTAGAATTTTCAACAGCATTGAAACAATAAATACATACTTGTTCATGAGAGTTAAGAATAATCCCACGCCTGAGTAGATTATATCGCGTAGGCAACCGATCTAGTGCTAATGTCCAACCAAAGGCTTTAACCTTCACTAGAACCACAGAGTTCCACTGCCTCTTCAGCAGGACTTTCATGTTCTCTTCTACCTCTTCACTTGCCGATGTGCATAATAACAAGTTGTAGTAGGACTTAACCGTGTATGCTCCCGAAACATGAAAAGGCCAAATGATGCAGTCTACTTTATTCCAAACAGGTTTCACCTCCAAGAGAATTTCATACAAATGATGGTGTTCCTGTTGCAACTCGGCCTCATTGAGACCAATATCAAAATCTATCTAATCAGTATACCACATTCCCAATTCCGCCATCATTACCAATTTTGTGCCAGTTTTGTTCCATAAGCCAGGAAAAATTTGAAATAGAGGCCTATCCCCAATCCACTTATCCAGCCAAAACAGAGTGTTCACTCTATTTCCCAACCTCTCCTTTCATCTTTGGATTTCACAGCATTGAAATCCCCAGCAACAATCCACTCCCCATATTGTAACTTAGGTTTCCAGCCTAATAACTCTGACCACATTCGTCTCTTCTCAAAAGCAACACAAGACGAATATATATTAATGAGATAACAATTGATCTCCTTCTAAACCATATTGATACCCAAGTAACCTTTACCATAACAACTGAAAACAAGATTCAAGATATCTGATCTCCATATCATCAACAACCCACCAGATTGTTCGATCGAAGGAGTAGCAGACCACCTGCAACCCATAAACTCTTCATGTAAGCCTCATTCATGTTCTTCTGTTTAGTCTCTTGAAAAAAACAAATATCTATCGCGCCTTTGGTAATTGTTTCTTTGATTATTCTTCGCTTTTTAGAAGTGCCACCTCCTCTAATATTGCAGGTTATACAATTCATGGTGCACTCACTTCAACCCCTTTCTTAATTTTATTTGTCACCTTTGCTTCTAATTTTCTAACAATACCTTTGAAAACTTCATCATCCTTTTCACCTTCAATTCCAAGTTTCTTGATTGAATCCCAAACCTTTGCAGGAACACTCTCGATAGCCATTCTAATATGTGATTTTCTTTGATTGACATCCGCGTCTTCAATAGAATCGCAACATAAGACCGATCCTCTAGAAAAACTTAATATTGAGTCCCCTTCATCTAAACTGCTACCAACATTGTTATAACAAAGTTATTGCTCCGGATCACCCACAAAAGAAGTTGGAGTATGATTGTTTGCAAGGATAAGGGCCGAATAACATGAAGGGCTGAAAGGGATTTTTAGGTTTTCGTATACATCGCACATCTGCTTCTTTTTCCTTGGCTTAGACTTCACAATTGAACCCCCTAAATCCTTTTTCAAATCAGAAATCGGGTCAAAGCAAACAAGGGCTAGATCCAGGTTGGTAGGCCCATTTAGCGAAAGTCCACCCAGGTTATTGTCAACATCAAAAACACATGTCCCACAACATTTGTTTATAAGCCTGAGACCCACATCTGCAGACAATCACACCTCCACCTTAATTGGACTAGGCACCTTGTTGAGATTTACATAATCTTTTGTCCATATCCCCACTTTCAATGTTTAGATTTTTCGTATTCTCCCTCTGAAAGAGACACGTGCCTGCTATCGCAGACCTACACCAATATGTTTATCATTACCATTATGGTGCCTTTTTGTATCGCCTGCCTCCCTATTCTCCGACTCAGGTACCATAACATTGAAAGATTAATTAGGTATATCTCTAGAAAAAGTAATTTTTATTTCGTCTTCCTCATCCTCATCTGAACCTTCTCACACGCTGATATCAGAATCAAAACTATCATTTTCTGACGAGCTTCCTCCCATTTTGTTCTTAGAATCCAAGATCCTCAACGGGCCGTGTGAGTCTTCAACGAGTTTAATTCTATACACACTTCCATTAATCTCGGTGTTAAATACTTCGTTCATATTAATAGCAAATTTTGTTTTCACAAGGAATCTTGCAACATCAAAGCACGCATGATTCTCTGTATCCTCATGTGATCTGATGTATTCACCTACTCTCCTAGATAAGAATTTAAAGAATTTTGCAGACCACACATGACAAGGAAGACTGTAGTAACGTATCCAAGTGAGTATCTCCTTATGCACGTCCTCCAGAGAACCATCAGGATGCCTAAGTTTCTACCTCTTTGATTAAGGTTGTGACTTCACCAATATCCTCTTCTTATAGCAGGCACATATTCGCTCCCATGGGTGTCGCCTTTATGTTAGAAATACCTTCAACATGAAAAGCCTCATACACCTTATAGGTTGAACCTGAAGTTTCCACTACCCCCGCAAAGGCTCTTTCGAACCTCGCCAGCTTTGACTTTTCTATGTTAAACTACAAATGTGCGAAACAAGGTCTTGCTCCCAGCTGATCTTTATCTTGATCTTAGTTCTTCATCCTTGGTTTATGTCTAGTAAAATTTTGGGGAAAATACCCAGTGACCTTCCTAGCACCCAGAACTTAGCGTAAGAAAGGTTTGGATAATCTTGACGTAACATCTCCCATCTCGTCCTAATCGAACTCTTCTACATAACTCCAGGTTTCTAATGCATTTGTAGATTGGTTCCATCATTATTTCTAATGCCGCCACGATGAAACCTCCGTATGTTAGCGTGTATCTTCTTTCCTCCGATCATAATGTTATCCAGTATGATTGCCAACACCCTTGCATCTTCAACATCTCTAAATCTGACAAAACCATAACGTTTCCCCTTCTTGTCTCTCTTAGGGGGGACGACAACTTCCTTCACCAAGCCAAAATGTTTAAATTCCTCAAACATATTCTTAGCTTTAAAACCTTCTAGAAATTCCGTAAAGAAAAACGATGAGATGTTGTTCTTCTCATTTTCTGCTCCATTTCCATTTTCTGCACATTTGCCGTTCTTCGCACCCCATATTGACCTTGTATCTACCTTTTGTCTGTTTGATTTGGTATGCCGAACCTCCGTCCATCTCTCCTCTCGTCCCATTCCTTAAAGTTAGGAAAACTTTTTGTCCATCCTTCCTCTAGTGCCAAATTCACTTATTCTTTTTATCTAGATTAAAAATATGCCATTCTCCCATAAATTTTAAATAAGAACCTTTCCTCATATTTAAAAACGAATAAGACTTCTTGTTGGGATGTTGATGCGGTTGAATGCAGTTGTGATACTGTGTATTGCGGCGGTGATGCGGTCTAGTGTGACAGAGATATGGTTTGGCGCGGCGGCTATGCGATTTTGTTGTGGCAATTCCATGTCATTTCATTTTACATTGCAATGTTGTTTGCGCTGCCATCTACATCTGCAATATTGTGGCCACATCAAGTGACGCGGTCTGCAATTTCAAACCATAGAGTTGAGGATTGATTTATGCTTTCTAATAGAAATTAGGGTCATAATTGTGGAGTCGAAAATAGAGGAGAAAGAGATGTCCGGTGCCAAATAAAAAAGAATAAGGTGGAGCAACATTGAATTTGTGTGAATAAGATGAGAATTACATTAGAAATAGAGATAATAGGGTTTAATTAATTAATTAATTAATAATAAAAAAAAATTAAAGAGTTGAATAAAAAAATTATAAGAATGAAATTTTATTAAAATATTAAAAATCATATCATAATAGTTTTTTATTTTTTACTGTTGTTAAAGACTATGCATATTTCCTTGTCATTTACAAAAATGGAATTTTATTAAAATTGGTTGTGTATACACTTTATCATAATGAAATTCTCATAGGAAAGGTTTTTGTATCTCTAAAAAGAATTAAACATGAGTGTCATCATGTTTCAGAAGTTAAAATATTTGCGCCGTTTTCCTTCATACCATGGATTCATTGCGCTGTGTTTCCGTTTATACAATTGATTTAATGAAGGTCCATAAACATTGTATTTGACCTGCCGATTTGGTTCATACCATAGATTCATTGCGCTGTGTTTCCGTTCATACAATGGATTTAATGAAGGTGCATAGACATTATATTTGAAGGTCAAAGACCGATAATATCATTTCAAAGATTTTAAGTAAAGTTTTATCACTTTAAATAATAATGTATGATATTGATATGGTAGTTAAAAGTTGATAATGGTTTAGATAATAATGTAGGTGATATTTATTTGGTAGATTAAATTTGATACTGAAATAGGTTAAAAGTTAATTTGTAAAAACTATTATTTTATTTAGATAATCATGTAAATATAACTGAAATACAGTTGTAAAAATCATATTTATAATAATTTTTTTTTTTAAAATTTAATTCCATTTGAGAAATTTTTTATGAGGTTAAACAATGCAGATGCACGGGTTTTAACTAGTTTTTCTAATAAGATTGTATTTAAGTTTGAAGTAATTTTTTAATAAATATAATAATTTATGTTGACATTAAAATAAAAAAATGATTATATTAAAATAAAATTTTGATTATGTCACATAACATGTGACATGTTACAATTTAACGACCACATCATAAAAAGTGAAACACAAATGAAGCAAGAAATTAAAATTGGAGAAAAAAATTAATGAAGGACTAATAAATTAAATTTTAAAATAGAAAGATTAAAACTTAAAAAATAAAAATAGAGGACTAAAGTTCCAATTAAACGTATAAAATTTAATAATCACACTTTATTCGTATTTTACATACACATTCAATTTTTTAAAAATAATTTATACTACAAAATTATTTATAAAAATATAATCTATTTAAGTTTAAAATATTGAAACAAAATAATTAATTACCAGTTTTTTAAAATAGTTGTACATTATCATTCTCAATCATGTTTTGAACCTATAAGATAAAAATATGAAGATAAAAAAATGGAAAAAAAGTAATGAAGGGAACTTGTTTCCACGTGAAGAGAGGTAGAAGTAGAAAGGTAAATTTATTGAATGTGAAGGACGTTGTGTGTAGAGTTGTATGTGAGGAGAGGTTGAAAGACATAGTTTATGTGAAAGAGTATTAGATATAACTTATTCCTATATAGAGTAGGTGAAGATTTTAGATATAACTAATTCCTATAGAGTAGGTGAAGATTTTAAATGAAACGATTAAAATCTCATTTTAAGTTAAATATCATGATTAAAATTTTATTTTACCCTTTTCAAAATAAAATAAAAATTTTATTTTCCATTTATGACGTGGTCTTAAGAAGTACAAATTGAAATTAATAAAAGGAATTCAGATTTTATTCCTATAGGAAGGATTTCAAATTAAGAATTGAGTTCCTCAAAAACATGGTATCACATACAACAACAAGAAATCATGAAAAGTCTCTTGTTAGAATAGTCATCACTAACAAGAGCATTTTAAATGAGTTTCCAAAAAAAGTAAGGATTTGATATAGGAAAAATTTAAGCAGGTAGGTTAGTGAAATTAAATCTCTATAGAAATTATTAAGTTAATTAACTTTTTCATTTTTATACTTAAAGTGGAATAACTTTTGTATGAGTATATTGGTTCCTTAATTTATTTATAAATAATTTATACAATATATAAAGAGAATATTTTGTTTTGGTGTGGTTTAATTTTTTATCATTTTTACCCTTATTTTATTGTGTATTTTTCTTAATAATTTCATATTATTAACTTTCACATAACTTCTTATTATTAATTGATCTTACCTGATTAGAAAGGAATCAGTGATCTGCCACGCGTCGTTGATCTGCTAGCTGTTCACCGAAGGTATGGAAGAGGAGGGAAGGTGTACCTGCAACACACTCCGGTGCCAAAGTAAGCGACGAGCAGAGCAGTAACAAGTACAGAGAGAAGAGTGAGAAAGTTAAGTTACCTGACCCTCTAGTGAAGAGGGTATTTATAGTGAGCCCCCAGCGCAGGGCCAACGGTTACCTAGCACTGGGCTGGGCTACCAGGCCCAATTTAGTAACTGCTAGGGATGACGTGGCGTCGTGAAGACCAGCACGTGGTCTTCGCCCTAGGGTAACTGTTCCGCACTATCCGGGAGGAGGAAGACCGAATCTCCAGGACGTGGATAGTTACTTTATGACGTGTCCCTGTGTGAGGGACACGTAAAGAACGTGGGGGAAGGTCCGAGGAGCTCCCCGAGCAGGTTGGACTCTGTCCGACGACGGGGAAGGAAGAGGCTGGCTGGTCGGCTGCGATGGTCCTGCCCGACGGGTCTTCTGCCCGTCAGCGTGGTCCTATTGGGCCCAACCTCAGTGAGGTTTGGGTCTGCTTGGTTGTGGGTTAAGCGTCGGCCCAGTCCAGAACATTAACTTTCACATATTGTATTTTTTTTAAAAAATTATTTAAACAAAATTATCGTTTATATTTTCATCCGTACGTATTAAAAAAGCGGACAAACGGGCACGCGAGTGCCCGTCTGGACGCTAGTATTTATAGAGAGAGAAAGTAAAATAAGATACTACTTTCGTTCCTTTATATAAGAGATAATTTAATCTTTAGATTTATTGAATAACTAATATATTTGGTTAGTTTATAGAGTAGATATATTAATTATTCAATGAATCTAAAAAGTAATTTGTTTCTTATATAAAGAAACAGAGGTAATATACAATAGCAAAGCTATTAAGGAGCCGAAGGGTGCCGCTACACCCCTAAAAATCCATATTTTAGTTTAATATGATACTAGTATTCCTTAAGGAAGTATTTGAGGAGGAATTAGTTTACAGGGGTAAAATTTAAGAAGATATATGGCATGGCTTACTGTATAAGGAGAGTATGCTCAAACAAAAATTTAGATCAAAATGGGTGACGAAGGGATATAAATTCTAGTTTCTTCTATTCTATGATGAAGATTAGATTCAGAAGTAACGCAATTTCGTCAGCTATGGTTGGCCTTGGATTGGATGTCGACATCATGCGTATTAAAGAGGCTGTCAAATATGCTTTTAAAGCTAGATTTATGAAACCTTGTACTCCTTCTGTTAATATGCAGCTGCGTGATCTACCTAAGCTGCCGGAAGAAGAAGCTGAGATATTGCAGAAGCCGTTTACAATGAAGGATATTTTGGAAGCGACTAGAGATGGCGACGGCAATAAGAGCCCGTGTCAATATGAATTCAACCTTGAGTTTTTAATCGTTGTTGAGACATTGTAGGTGAAGACATAACGAAATGTAATCAAGAATTCCATCATACTATTAATGTCCCTAAAGCGTTCAACTAATCTATCATTGCTTTTATCCCTAAAAAAGCCAATCTGCAATGTATGGACGAATTTTGGCCTATCAGCCTTGTAGGTAGTATATACAAAGTAATTTCGAAGATTCTTGCTGGAAGGTTGCGTAAGGTTATTGGTAGTCTTATCTCGAACTCTCAGATAGCCTTCATCCCTGGTCGTCAAATTCTTGATGGTGTCCTTGTGGTTAACGAGCTTATTAACTTAGCTAGTAGAAGTAAGAGAGGGTGTGTCATGTTTAAAGCTGACTTTGCTCAGGCCTACCATTGTGTTGATTGAGACTTTTTGGTGAAGTTGTTGAAGGTAATGGATTTTGGCGACAAATGGATTCATTGGATCAAGGGTGGTTTTATGGATGTTCATCTGTTCGTCCTAGTGAGTGGTAGTGCGACAAGAGACTTTAAGGCAAGTAGGGGTCTTAGACAAGGGGACTCCTTTTCTATTTTCTATTATTGCTGAGGGTCTTGCTGTGTTGGTTAGGAGGGTGGTGTTGAAGCAATTATTAAAGGGGTTTAAGCTCATTGGGGTAGATGAGATTAACCTTGTTCACTTCGCCGATGATACTATTTTGATTTATGAAGATAATTGGAGCAACTTATGGGGAATCAAAGTGATTCTAAGAGGATTCGAGTTGGTCTCTGGATTGAGAATTAACCTCGTGAAAAGCTGTTTATTTGGCATTTGTGTAGAGGATTCGTTTTTACATGCTGCTTCTCAGTTTTTTGCTTGCAATTTGGGTATGTTTCCTTTTAAATTCCTGGGCATTTTTGTTGGTGGGAATACATATGAGTTGCATTTTGGAAACCGGTTGTTGACATATTCAAAGCAAGACTCT